TCGCGACCAACAGGGGGATCTTTATTCACATCAGGATACCAGGCGACACCCCAACCCAAAGGGTCCATGTAGCCAAGCAGTGATATACTTTGGCCTTAAAGTTGTCCCTATATAGGTACTTTAGAGGCAACGTATATACTATTTGGGTACATGGACCCTTAGGGTAAACCGAAACTTCAACCGAAAATAAAAGCAACACCAGCAAGAACACGCAAACCCCAAACTCTAAGCACCCAAAGCCCGATTCTTCTCCAACCAAACCCTAGCCCGTAGACGCTCTAAAACCTTCCTTTTCAGGGCTCCTTATTATGATTTCCTTATATAGGGCCTTAAAGCAGGTAGGTTCTTAGATTCTTTGGGTCCAGGTAGCCCTTAGACCCTCACCCCTGACCCTAAACCCTAAACCCCTAAACCCTAAACCCTAAACTTTAAACCCTAAACCCTAAACCCTAAACCCTAAACCCTAAACCCTAAATCCTAAGCCCTTCTGACCCCCCTTTAGAGGGCCAGATCCAGGTGACGCTGTGTATTCCGGGAGCGACGAAGACTCGGACTTGGATGCCAGTGGCTGGGACAGTGTTTTTAATGTTGTTATATCTTGGAACGAGCTTGAAATAAAGAAGACAACCATAGAATGAGTTTAGAGCTAAACCCTAAATGGAATAAGTTTGGGTGGTTTGGCCGTCTCAGACGGCGTGGGGTGGGAGAAAGAAAAGAAGGAGCCCTCCACAGCCGGGCTCCAGCAGCGAAAACTACGATACACTCGAAACTACAGTGTAGCTAGATACTTCCGCTTATGCCCCACTCTACGGCAAACCCTAAACCCTAAACCCTAAACCCTAAACCCTAAACACACACACACACACACACACACACACACACGCACACACACACACACACACGCACACCCGCCCTAAACCGCCCAAGAGCCCCGCGAGCCGGCACCCCCAAAGGGAACTCCATCCTGCGAGGCTCCTTGTGCCGGAGGTCTGTGACGTAGTTTTGATGATGATTATATATATATATATATATACCCTAAGGGTCCATGTACCCAAATAGTAGAACACTGGCCTTAATGTAGTCCCTATATATGTACTTTGGGGCCAATGTTCTACTATTTGGGTACATGGACCCTTAGGGATATATACCTGGGGATCCAAAACCCTACCATTTTAAGGGTTCTACCCGGGTCATAACCTACTATTTTGTAGGGTTTGGGGTCACAGGTATATATCCTAGGCTAGGTTAGGGTTTATATAGGGTTTAGGGTTCTCCAGTAGCACCCTTTTGCCCTTTGTATTTGGGAGTCTCCTTGTTAAGGGTACCCTTATTAGTAAATGGCTACTGGGGAACCTAGAATTTTAAACAGGGTTCTTGTTAAGGGATTTGTTTCGGTTTTAGGGTTTGGGGTTGGGGTTCGTGTTAAGGGACTTAATTTTAAGTCACCATAAGGATCTATACTGTTGATGATACGAATCCCGCATTACCTTAAGGACCCTAAACTACGGTATATTCCTTATTTATTATGGGTAATGCAGGATTTGCATCATCAACCATAGGACCTAAGAGTTTTACCATGTGCAGGACCTTAGGGTGGAGGGTTCGGGATTTAAGAGTTTACCCCAAGGGGCCATGTGCCCGAATAGTATATAGTTTGGCCTTTAAGTACCTAAATAGGGACTACTGTGGGGGCACAGTATATACTAGCTCGGTACATGGACTCTTGGGCTTATAGGGCTTAGCAGTTACCTAAACCCTAAAACCTACACCCTAAGCTGCTGCGAGGATCGAGAATGTTTGCCTGGAAGTCGTGCGCAGACCATGTCCCCGAGGCAGTGTAGCAAGCCCAGAAACAAACACCGTACAATAAGGGTCCATGTACCCACATTAGTATATACCTTGGCCTTAATGTAGTCCCAATTTGCGTACTTTAGGGCCAATGTATATACCTTTTGGGTACATGGGCCCTCAGGGTTAACTCTCGGCTAAACCAGAAAACCTCTAAGCCTAAGATCCTAAGGCCTTAAACGCCCTAATCCCGAAACCCTAAACCCTAAAGCTTAAAGCCCTAAACCCTAAACTGGGAACAGGCCGCTCGCTCGACGGTTCAGATGCTGCTCCTGCTGGGAAGAGTTCGCAGGCAAGGAAACACATCATACCACAGCGTGGTGCCTTGAAGCCCTTTTGGGGTTTAGGATTTAGGGTTCCCTTCTTCTTCAGTGGAAGAAGAAGAAGAAGGGAACCCTAAACCCTAAACCCCAAAAGGGCTTCAAAGGTTTAGGGTTCCCTCTCTCTCTCTCTTTCTTCTATCTCTTGTTCTTTCACCCTCTCGCTCTCTCTCTCTCTGACACTCTCGGAGCCCAGCCTGTTGTCGGCCCAATACCTCAGAAACCCTAAACTAAACCCGAAACCCCAAGCCGCCCAAGCCCAAAACCCACACCGAGAGCCCCGAACTCCACCTGTAGCCCCAAGTCGCACAGATTTCTACCAGGTTATAGCCAGTTATATACCCACCCTAAACCCTAAACCCGAAACCCTAAACCCATAGCCACGCCTGGTCATTGTCATGACCGAGACTGCAGCAAAGGCATTTCGCCTCCTTCGGGGCTGCAAAGGGTGGCAATCGACTCGCTTTCGAGGTTCAGGTCTTCGGGATATGCACTTTAGGGTTTAGGGTTAGGGTTTAGGGTTTAGGGTTCAGGGTTTAGGGTTTAGGGTTACAGCCATTCATACCTTAAGGACGAAAAGAGCCCTAATGCCTAAAAGGGTTGAGGGTTCATATACCATATAGGGATTCATAGTATAAGGGAATAGGGCCCCTACTTTTACGGTTCTTTTCGCCCTTAAGGTAACCTCTCTTTTTTGAGGAGTTATGTAAAGAAATCAGAAGAAGGAACCCCACAAAGGTAGGCTGTTGAGGAAGGGATTGAGGGTCCGCGCGCAGAAGGGTTCGCTTCGCTTCTCCAAAGACTTCGGGAGAGCCTTGAAGGTATGTGTTTTCAGGGTTTAAGAGTTGTTTAGGGTTTAGGGTTTAGGGTTTGGGGTTTGGGGTTTAGACTTTAGGGTTCAGGGAGTTTATCTAAGGTAGAACTTATGGGCGCCCAGTATGGGCCCTTAACCCTGGGACCCTAATATACCTACTATATACCCTTAAGGGACCCTCGAATCCCCTAAGGGCCCATGTTAGGGGCCCATGGGTTCAACCTTAGAGTTTAGCATACATCCTCAGATTGTCAGCGGCTGTTGCCGCGCCTTGCACCCTGGGCCCCAACACCCTGTAGTTACCCGACCGTCCGAGAAAAAAAGCGCAGTTATCGATAACATGGGGGTATTTCTCTAAATTAGGGCCCCTTTTTTTTCTACCCATGGATTACTCAACGCGTGGTTGTAGCATGAAGGGACGATCACCTGCCGCACATCTTGGCAACTGAGATGCTCAGGAAATAGATCGTTCTTGAAACTAGTGTCCCCTAAACCCTGAACCCCAAACCCTAAACCCATTTTCGGGCCCTTTTAGAACGGTGCCGTCCCGGGGACCTAAAGTTGGGACCCTAATCCCCTATAGTACCCTTGCAGAAACCTTATAGTAACCCTTACGGATCCCTTTAAGGAACCCGAATCTTAGTACCCTTATAGAAACCGTATAGTAACCCTGATAGATCCCTTTTAGGAACCCGAACTTTAGTACCCTTATAGAAACCTTATAGTAACCCTTATAGATGGGGGTTTCCGAAAATAGGGGACCCTAATCTAGTACCCCAAAGAGTAGGTCCTTATTTTACGGACCCCAAAATATGGTACCCCTAATTTTCGGAAACTCCCAGATCTCTCTAAGAAGCCAGATCTCTTTAAGAAGCCCTAAGAAGGGACCGACCCCATACAAACGTGAGAAGAACCGACTGGGCCAGCCGTAGGCCTCTGTACGGAAACTGTGCAGCTGGTCCTGGAAAGGCGAAGACGTGTCCAGAGGACTCCACTGGTGGTGTAGGTCCAGGGTCAGGGGTTTAGGGTTCAGGGTTTGAGGGTTTGGATTTTTTTTTAGGGTTTTAGGGTCAGGGGTTTAGGGTTCAGGGTTTTAGGGTTTATTTTGTTTAAAGGTTTTAGGGTCAGGGGTTTAGGGTTTTAGGGTTTAGGGTTTTAAGGCCAGGGTTTTTTGGTTTAGGGTTTAGAGTTTAGGGCTTAGGGGTCGAGGTTAGGTTGGTAGGATGGGCTTTTAAGGTTTTGGGGTTCTCTCTCTAGGGTTTAGGGTCCTTTTTACACCTGGACTACGCATATGCCAGGAACCGAGGCACGGGTTTAGGGTCCTAAACCCTAAACCCTAAACCCTAAACCCTTAAGCCTAACGCTACACACCCACATCCAGGACACATGCGAGATCAGCTCTGTACTCTCCAGGTGAAGAGCTGTGGCCAGTTCCATCAAGGATATACGGTTTAGGGTTTAGGGTTTAGGGTTTAAGGTTTAAATAGGGGAGCCTGATATAGTATCCTAAATAGTAGGATCCTTATTGTAAGGACCCCAAAGCAGGGTACCCTAATTTTCGGAAACTCCATTATCTGGCCTCTGAAACCTATTTGGGGTTTATGACTTCTTGGCCCTTGGCTTACCACCGGCCTCGGAGTGTAGGGCTCAGGAATCATACTTTGGGGAGCACGGGGTTTCGCATCCAAGAAATCCTGTATAACTTTCTTTCTGACCCCCCAAGGCGTATCAGGAGCGGCTTGATGCCCACCAAGCTCCCCAAAGCATTCAAAACTCACAAATCTCAGATTCAAACCCCGATGACACAGCTCGTGACCCTGAGCTTGCAACTGACTGCCCGACACCCAAGCAACCAGGAACGTGGGGATTGGGAGTACCGATATGTTTCCCTCCGTCAGTCCCACACAACTGGGCACCGGCAGACATAAAGGCAGTCTTTTGCACCCGCGTCCTCATTTGGAGTATCAAATTATGCCGACAAAACTCCCAGAGCTCTTGAGCTTTGGGCTGCGAGCTGCTCATGAACCCGGACAGCTAGTCTTCAGGTACTGAACCACTTTTGGGTTATCCATTACCCGATCCGCACGCGTGGATGAGTTGAACTCGAACAGATTGACTACCTGAGCAAAGGCTTCAAGTGCTGTTTTGGCTTCGGGTATCTTAAACTACATTATATTAGTACTAAGAACAGCTAGGGGATAGTGGCACGAATTCTTCCGACCCCTACCATCATTCTAGGAAGCATCAAACATTGTATTAGGTCGGATTGAGGAAAGCGCTATTCGCATTCTGCTTTATCCTCTTGGCACAGGAAAGGAGTACTACCACCAATTACTAGAACTTCCGTACTGAATCATCTTCCTGATCCGGAGGGTCGTTCTCCCCATAGTAGTTCCTTTTTGGGGTTACCTTGTAGGATTCTATATATGAACCCCAAAAAGGATCTACTTTAGGGCCTATGGGTAAACCCTAAACACTACACCTCTGACCCTTTCCGCTAGCGACCCCTATCCGGATCGAGGCGGTATCCGATTTAACCCAGAAGCTAAGGATAAAGCAGCCCTAAAAATATACAAGGTGCCGTTCTAAGTTAAAGGGGGTCTGCTCTAAACCCTAAACCCTAAGCCCCCTAAACCCTCAACCCCCCGTAGCACCCACCCAACATCTACAGCCAACTTAAAAAGCAAAAACACAAGCAGAGCCCTGAAACCTCAGGTATCTTCAAGGCAGCCGACCCCGTAAGAATAATTCCAGCACTCACTCTAAGATTGATTTTGGGTTTAGGGTTTCCGGCTGCGGACGCAAAAAAAGACCCTCAAGCTCCAAGCCACCCCTTAAGATTAATTTAGGGTTTAGGGTTTCGGAAGCCTCAAAGACCCTAAAGCTACAAGCCACCCCTTTTATTAAGATTAATTTAAGGTTTAGGGTTTCGGGTTTCGGAAGCCTAAAAGACCCTAAAGCTACTTGTCCACACCATCTAGGCATTAATTTAGGGTTTCGGGCTTATAGGGCTTCGGAAGCCTCAAAGACCCTAAAGCTAACGGTTCGGACCATCTAGGCAGCCCTCATTCCAACACCCCCAAGCCATAAACTCCAAACCTCTGGAAAGGGAGAACTTCCAAGAGACACATCGAGCTTCGGAAGAAGAATTAGGGGTCCCTTCAAGGCTTGGGAGCTTGCGGGGGGGTGGGTTAGGGTTTTGGCTGTTAGAGCAGCCCTAAACCCTAAACCCTAAACCCTAAATCCTAAACCCTAAACCCCAAACCTTAGGGGGGTTAGGGCTTAGCGAGTACTCACATCCCCGACAATCCGAGCGAGGTCTCGGGCGTAGTCGGTGGTGAAGACGCTGTAGGGTTGTACCCCATGCCATTTTTAGGGGTTTAGGGTTTAGGGTTTAGGGTCTGTTCTTTGAGTCCCTCAACGAATCTGAAAATCGGTGAAGGCACATCGAGGTGGTACGGCGCCACCCTTAGGTCGATCTCGTGGAAATCTGAGAACCCTGGGCAATCCCAGTTCCTCGTGCAGGGCATCGGGCTCATTGATTAGGAATGCAAAGTTAGGCGAGGTCAGACACTGCCAAGACCATCTCCTGACGATGTGGCGCACAAGCGGCACTGCTCCCCAACGGAACTTCCAGTACGGCGGACCTGTCAGACGAATTCTCGCTGAGGTGTGCAGGGCTCAGGGTTGATATGGTTTGGGATTTACAGTCAAGGGTTTAGGGTTCAGGGGTTGGGGCTAAGGGTTTAGAGTTGTGAGAGGCTTATCGTCGATATGGTGAGGAGTTAGGGGTGCGAACTTAAGGGCGAGGGGCGTAAGGTTGAGGGTTGTGCAGGCTTCGGGGCATGCATGGTTGAGGGATTGGGGGGTTGCTGAGCATCTGATTGTTGCAAAGCGGCTTCATTTCGGAGCCTCGTCTTGAGGGATCTGCCCATAAGCCATAAACCCCATAGGCCCTAGAAATCAGAACATCGCCAAATCCAATAACTCCCAGCATCCCATGAAGGTCTTGATCCCGAACGCCCTAAGCCGCGTCAAACCAGAAACCCCATAAAACCCTAAACCCTAATTAGAAGGGTAGAGCCCCTCCTGAACCCTATTGTAGGGCCTCAACAATTAGAATAAGTGTTTAGGGGTCCGTATTATAGTTATAGTATATGATATACCCCCCCCCCCCAAACCCTATTTTAATTAATAAGACCTATAATAAACCCAAACCCCCAAACCCGCAAACCCCCAAACCATAAACCCTAAACCCAAGCCCCTAAACTCCGAAGGCAGGAGGCGGTCATGGATGAACAAGACTTCCTTGTACCGCGGGGGGCACACGTTGACGTTGGTCTCCAAGAACTTTAAGATGGCCCAGTTAGGAATGTGGATGATCGTGTCCTGTAAGAGAGTGAAAACTATCTCTTCGAAGGGTTTAAGAGTTTGGGGCTTGTAGCCTAAACAATAAACTCTAAACCTTTACAGGGTTTAGTTTAAGGTTTAAGGTCTTGGGATTAATTAGGGTTGCTGGTTCGTGTCCCTTGGAATGAAATAGTCTTTTAGTTCTTGTTCTCACATGGCGACTACCAATCCCTACAATGCGAGGTTGCTTTGGTTCACGGGAGAGGGCTTCGGGTTTCACGGTTTTGCGCTGGTTTTGGGGTTGGACTTTTGCGGTGGTCCGGCAGGTTTTCCTGGAAGCAGAGGTTGCTGATGCAGTGGCGTAGTGGGTTATGCGTACTTTTGGGCTTAGGGTTAAGGGTTTCGTATTCCACGCTATCTTATCGGAAATTCGGGTGAATCAGGGGTTGTCAGTGTCGGAAGACGTGTTAGTCTTACTTCGGCTATCTTGCGTAACGAATGCAGCCTATAGGGCTCCGGTTACCTAAACAATGGATTACTATGGTATTCAATAGATGGTCCTATGGTTACTTACCTACTATATTTAGGTAACTGGGGCCTTGATTGGGGGTTCTTACTGTCGATGACACCTCCAGAGACAGGACCGATTGCTAGGGCCCCTGCTTTCGTGATGAGGAGGTCCGCCTTCGGCAGATCTTTCAGCATGTCTCCGACTTCGAAAGTCACAGACCGCAATCCGTACTGCTGGGGGTCTTTGTCCTCTGGGTTAACAGGGCTTTTTGGAGAGGATTATAGGTTTATGGGGCAGAAAGGTTTCAAAGAGCCTATAGGGTTTAGGGTCCTCGTGTCGATCCACGACCAGGCTTGATAAACAAATGCAACGCCAACAATTTACATGGGGATTTCCGAAAATAGGGGACCCTAATATAGTACCCTAAATAATAGGATCCCTATTATAAGGACCCCAAAATAAGGTACCCCCCCAATTTTCGCAAACTCCCACATGTCAATCCGTGAAGGCCCTGGTAAACTTCAGAGCACAACCGGAGACCCCAATCGCAACTTTTTGCTAAGAAGGGATATCGGCTTCAGTGCTTTAGCGTTACTGCCCTTTTGGTGCCAACCTTAAGGAGGAAAAGAACCTTAAAAGTAGGGGCCCTATTCCCTTAGACTATGAATCCCTATATGGTATATGAACCCTAAACCCTTTCAGGGCTCTTTTTCGCCCTTAAGGAAGGAAGTGCAGACTCCTTGAAAAAGGCTCTGTTATCTTCGATCATCTTCGGAGTGATGTCCAAGCCGGTGTAGTCCTGGCCGGACCATGTGGGGGTTTCTGAAAATAGGGGACCTTAAATATAGTACCCCAAATAGTAGAATCCTTATTATATGGACCCCAAAATAAGGTACCCAAACCCCCAAACCTTATAGTACCCTTCTAGATCCCTTATAGGAACCCTTTAAAGGAACCCTATAAACACCCCAAAATAAGGTACCCCTTCTTTTCGAAAAAATCCTGGCCGGACCATGTCACGCCCCTCTGCCAGCCGGAGGGCCAGTGTCCCGACGACACATCCACTATGGAGCCTTGCCATACGGGTAGTTCTCTAAATTAGGGTCCCTTTTGGGAGTCCTTTTTACAAGGGTGCCGTACTACATTGGGGACCCAGAAAGGGACCCTAATTTAGAAAACTACCCATATGGGGCTCGGTTCTTGTATACTAAAGCCATATGGGTGTTTCCGAAAGCAGGGGACCCTAATATAGTACCCTAAATAGGATCCCTATTATAAGGACACCAAAATAAGGTACCCTAATTTTCTGAAACTCCACTATAATGCCGATCCTATTATTTAGGATACTATATTAGGGTCCCCTATCTTCGGAAACCCCCATATGGGGCTCGGTTCTTGTATGCTAAATTTCGGAGGTTTCAACCAAAACACAAATGTATAGAACAACCCGTCCCAAAAGACCATACTTACTATGGTGTTGGGGGACTAGTTCCATCATAGTACAGTGTATGGGCCCTCTTGGTTTGTCAGCTCTTGAACGTCACGCTGGGGGCAGTAGGTTCTGCAGGGTTCTATACGGTGCTAGATGGCTCTATAATGAAGTCTTATATATATATATATATATTTCAAGGTTCTTGCGCTTTAACTTGGGACCGGAAAAACCCCACACCTTAAGCCCGGAAAGCCTAAACCCTCTAAGCTCTAAACCCTAAACCCCTAAACCCTAAACTCAACCCTAAACCCCTAAACCCCTAAACCCTTAACTAAACCCCTAAAGCCTAAACCCCTAAACCCTGAACTAAACCTTAACCCCTAAACCCTAAACCCTAAACTAAACCCTAAACCCCTAAACCCCTAAACCCTAAACCCTAAACCCCTAAACTAAACCCTAAACGCGTAAACGCCTAAACCCTAAACTAAACCCTAAACGCGTAAACGCCTAAACCCTAAACTAAGCCCCTAAGCCCCTAAACCCCTAAACCCTAAACCCATAAACCCGAAACCCTAAACTAAACCCCTAAACC